ATTTGCTTCGATATCGCTTCTTTATTGTGTGGGTTTTCGGATCGGATTGGATCAGCATGGGGTTCCGTTTTTCTCTTTCTTTTTCTTATTTTTTCTTCATAATCTTCTCACTTTTGTATTTTGTGTATTTTAGTTTTTTAGTTTTTCTTGTTTTTAGTTTCAAGTTTTTCTTTGGTATGTTCAAGGTTTCTGTTCAATGTTTTCTGTGTTTTAGTTTTCGTATTTTAGTCTGCGCTTAGTCTGCGTGTTTAGCTAGCTTGTAATTCGGTTTTGCATATGTCTAGATATATGCTACATGCTATATGGTTTTCCCTTTTCTTTTCTTTTCTTTTCGATTTCGTTTTGGTTTTGGTTTTGCTTGTATATATGTATATGCTGGGTGTATCTGTGTGGGTGTGTGGGTGTGGTGTTTTATGTACAATTTGAAATTGTTTAGAATTTTACTCGTGTACTTAGCTCAATTTAATTACATTAAATTTTTTTTGTTCATTTCGAATTAATTGTAATTTATTTAAACATATAATAACATTTCTTTTGCTGAACACATTTATTCCAAATTTTTTCGGTTTTTTTTTTTTTTGGTTTCTTTCATGTTTTTGTTTTTGTTTTTTTTTTTTTGTTAAGCTTTTCATAGGTAAATATTAACACGATTTTCAATTTTGTGTTTGGTTTTTGTTTTAGTTTTAGTTTTTGTTTTTTGTTTTATTTGTGATTTTGTGATTTCGTTTTTTTGGTTTAATTATAGTGGCTTAGTTTGTGATTAAATCAAAGTCTTAAGATGTAGGACAAAATATGAACGTATAATTAATGTGATAATTCAATTGAAATAAAATTCAAAATTTCAGCTATACATCGGTAATCGGTAATTCTCTTAGACTCATTTACATTTATGTTTTTGCTAAATTTATTCATTTGTCTAGATTAAGGCTAAGAAAAAACAAGAGGAAACGCTATAGTCGAGTGCCGCGACTATAAGATACCCGTTACTGTTTTACACAATTTTAAAATCTTAATTTTGCTAGTGGAAATTCACAAGGCGCCACCTATTGTCAGAGGAAGTATGTTGAGTATGCTTATAGTGACGTCACTGCCCATGTGGAGCCTTATAACCTTAATTTCTTCATAAATAGCGAAATAATGTTCCGATTTGAAAAATCTTTTGTAAGTCGATAGATATTAACAGAAATAAGTTACACAAGGTCAAACGAAGGCATTCATAATAATATTGTAGACTCCACAGTTTTCCGCGGTTTGTGGGCGTTAGAGTGGGCGTGGCCGGATGCAACTTCGTGGCAAGTTGCAGAGGCATCTCCTAAATACGTGTTCTTAAGCAAAATTGTGTAGCTTTTATAGTTTTCTAGATTTTTGCATTTTTGGTTTTTCGGGTTTTGTGGGCGTTAGAGTGGGCGCGGCGTGATTGGAAAAAAACAATTCGCATTGGGAGCATTATAGAAACATACATGCTTGATCCGAACTTTCTATCTCTTATAGTTACCGAGATATCAGCTTTTCTAGAAAATCCGAAAACCGTCTTTTGAGCCTTGTGGGCGTATGGGTGGGTGTGGCCGGATAGTAGTATCACTATAAGATGCGCTGCCATCTAAAGATTATACTTTTTGAATTTCAACTTTCTAACTGCAATAGTTCCTGAGATTTCAGCAATTTTAGTTTTTTGCGATTTGTGGGCGTTAGAGTGGGCGTGGCAGGATGCTGTAATAAACTTGCGCTGTCCCGGGACCTCAAGAATCTTCATGCCTAATCTCAGCTTTGTATCTGCTATAGTTCCTGAGATCTCAGCGTTCATACGGACGGACGGACGGACGGACGGACGGACGGACGGACGGACGGACGGACGGACGGACAGACGGACATGGCTCAATCGACTTCGCTATTGATCCTGATCAAGAATATATATACTTTATAGGGTCGCAAAAGCTTCCTTCTATCTGTTACATACTTTTCAACGAATCTAGTATACCCTTTTACTCTACGAGTAACGGGTATAAAAACAACCTTACTTTACACTCGGCTCTTTGTATCTGCTAACTGGTTTCCTTTTCTTTTTTTATATTATTTATCATGTATCTGGTATCTTTTTTGTTTTATTTGCTAACTGGTATCTTGTATCTGGTATCTTGTATCTTGTATCTTTTATCTTTTATCTATGACCCGATCAATCTAAAACATAAAATCTAATCTTAAGTAGGCGGTTTTCTTTTCGTTATGCTCCTTCGTCTCCCCTCCCCTCTCGATCAATCCTCCTTCTCCTTCGATTTTGGTGTTTTGCAAGTTTCTTCGCCTCCGTCTGGACCAATATCTTTACTATATATTCTCTCTAATGCTTAATCCTCTCATTAATCTTAGCCTTCTTATAGATATAGAGACTAAGTACAGCACTATATTAACTGACATCTGAATGTGTTTTGTTTTTGTTTTTGTTTTTGTTTTTGTTATCTCTTTAATTTTATATTATTTATCTTAATTATTTTTCATTATCATTATTATTTATTTTGTTTGTACAAAATAGCATTTGCAAGTTGTAGTTGTAGTTGTTGTTGTTGTTGGTTTTTCTTTAAGGAGAGTATTTACAGCAGTTAGCAGCCACAGTGGGGATAGCCTATATAGTATATTTCCTTTGCTTTAGATTTGAGTAGCGTTTATTTACACAGTGTCCACCACGTATCGTCTTGGCCCTTAATATCTGGCAACTGCCAACTGGCATCTGGCATCTGGCCTCCACTGTGGCATCTTGGAAACGTAGCATTATTGTTCGCTTTGTTTTTTTTTCAGCTGGTTCTACTGAATTGCTAGGGGTTTCAGGGGCCTGGTTTGGGGGCGCACAAACAAGGGGGGAAGCTGCATCCCCCTTTCGATCAGGGGCTGAGACTAGAAGGAGAGAGCCCCTCAAGTCGGCCAGCTTACAATGTTCCTTAAGGCACTTTGCTCTGCTCTGCTCCTCCGGATCTTTTTGTTGGCTTTGGACTTTAGTAAGGCCCCCCCTCTTAGCTCTCCACCCCTGAGCTGGGCGGCTACACTCCCCACCCTTTACTATATCTGTGTATGTGTGTGTGTGTGTGTGTTTAAGTGCTTGTGTGTGTGTGTGTGTGAGTGTGTGGACGGTTTACGAAGCTTTTTAAAATTTACACTTGAATATGATCGGTATTGGGTTGCCCAAAGAGCAGCCCTTCTTATGTACAGGTCGTCTACATATACATATATATATGATATATATTACTCATCTATGCAGTTTGGTATACACATACACACACATAAATATACATATATATATAGTTGTCATATGATATATATATATATATATATACTGTGTAGTTTCTCTTTTATTTTACATTTAATGCAAAAGTTGAATTCGCATAGTTCAGTCAACGATTTCTTGTTTTTTGTTTGGGTTTTTTGCTATGAAAAGGGTTGGGTTTTGGGTTTTATGGGACAAACCCCTGCAATTCAGTCGAAGAAATCATCGCTGGTTAGCCCCACATATCGTTTAGTTTAACTTTTACCTTTAGTTTCTTGGTAGTTTGCGTTTTTCATTACAAAAATCATAAGAGCGTTTTCTGTTTTGTTGTATCTCTTTTCGCCACTTTCTTTTCTTTTCTTTTGTTTTTGGTTTATTTTTAATTTTATTTGATTTGTTTTTTTGGTTTCTTTTTGCCTTTTTTTTATTGTGATTGAGCGGATGTGTGACTTTGGGGAATTACGAGCAATCCATCTATTGGTTACAGTGACTAATGTTCGGTCTTGTAGTTTAATTGCAGTCGTTTTGCCTTTTCTTTCCTTGAATTCCCTTAAGCAACGTAACAATGTAACAACGTAACGTCGTAACAGTTACGTAACGTAACGTTGTCGTACGTTTTTTTTATTGGTTTTTAGTTGAATATTTGTACTTTTTATTTCGTTTTAATTCGGGGGGATCGAAGCAGAAGATATAGCTGATATGGGTTATATTTTTTTCTTTCCTTTTTTTTGTTTTATTAAATACGAGTAGGTGAGAGGTTAGAGGTGGATCTGGGTGGGCAGAGGTGGTGGAGGGTATAGATTTCTCTTAAGCTTTTTTCTTTTACACAAAAAACAAAGGGATCTCGAGTAACGATATTTGTTTTTCTTTGGTTTATATACACACACACACACACACACCCTTGTAATACATGGTGTGCATGTTCATATGTATGCTTAGCTGGTTAGTTCAGTTAAGATTCAGTTAAGCTACGATAGTTAGTTTTCCTTCCTTTCTGTCACATTTAAAAGCACATATTGCCTTGGGTTCTGCTTGATGACTATACAAGTGGTTTTTGGTTTTTGGTTTTGGTTTTTCCTTCTTTAATTATTAAATATTACGGCAGTTTTACTATACTTTTCTTGTAGTGTTCATGACTGACAGTGTGTGAGTGAGTGAGTGTGTGTGTGTTAATCGTAGTAAATCTGCTGTGTGTGAGTTTTGTTTACTGGTTTTTAATTCAGCTCTTGAAAGGGACATCCCCCTCATCATGGACTTGCTTCACTGTGCTCGGCTTTTCCCATTAAAGCATTTCCTCTGTTTTTTTTTTGTTTTTTTTTTATTATTATTCTTGCTAAAAATAATGGCTTGTGAGCTTTATGATTTCCTTCGGTTGCTTTATTTACAGTTTCCATTAGCAGCTGCAGTTTATTGATCGGGTTTTCGGGTTTTCGGGTTTTCTTATTCAGCTTTCGGGTTGTTAAAAATTTGATTTAAGTTCTGCCATCACTTCTTCGATGTTTATGCTGTTGCTTTCATCTCGTTCTCTCTTTCTCTTTCTTCGGTTTATTCTTGTTATTAGTTTATGGTTTTTTTTTTATATTATTTTTTTCTTTATTATTTACTACTCGAATTTATTGGTACTCCCTTTTTAATCATTCATTTTCCTTGCTTTTAATGCTTGCTTTGGTTTGGGTTTTTGGTTTCTTTTTTGTTTTTGTTTTTTTGTTTTTTGTGTTTGTTGTTTATCATTAAATGTATAATTTAATTAAATTAATTTAAGTTTTAATTTAGATTTAATTTAATTTAGCAATAGATTAAATTTGTTTCTCCTTTTGTTATTTGTTCTACTTAAATTAAATATAAACAGCTTTTGTAGTCGTTTCTGGCATCCAACGTAACTCCTGTCAAGGCCAAATTTATACCACGCAACGTCTTTTGCACTGATTTTATACGATTTATATACGGTATATATAAGGTATAATACATAATGTATACATATATAATACATAGGGATGGATAGTTGAGACGTAGGCAAAGGTTTAGGTTCAGGATTTTAGGTTCATACGTAAACATAGGCAAACATGTGTACCGCGTAGGTGGAAGAGCGCGCGCCACGTGGAGAGAAAAGAGAGAAAAAGTTATGTTCTAATCAAATCGGAATTCAATTCAGTTCAATTAATATGATCGGACGTTCGCACTGCACAGAGAAGAACAGTGTTTGAAGTGGGAATGAAATGATAATATTGATTTACGGATTATTAAGTTAAAAAAACATAAAAGAAGACATTACTGGGGTAAGAAATCATTGCAAAAAGGTTCAAAGATCAATCAGAAAACTTTCATCATCAACTCTTTCCTTCACTTAGCAGCATAACAAAGTGTTTCCACTGCTCCGCAACTCAAAGCGGCCAGTGCGAACGATCCGTTTTTTTTTTTAGAATTTTGCATATTGCTTTTGGCATTTTGCAACACTTAAACTTAAGTTACGCTCTACGGCTCAAGGTGCACGGGTTATCGATATAGGTTTGTGGGGTCAAAGAAATGAGTGTGCCGTAGCAAGTTCAGTTACAGAGAGAGAGAGACAGAGATAGATAGAGATTGTGTGACAAAGATGGGAGTTGTGGGGGGTTCGGGGTTGGGGGGTTTGGGGGGTTTTCTGTGCAGCAAGCGAGTGGCATTAACCAACACTTACCCAGTAGTCAAACGTCGGTCTCGATACTAACGGCCAGGGCATTATTGTGCCTCATGGTGAGACCGCTGCTGCCGCTGCCGCTCGTTGCCGCTGCCGCGTTTGCATTTATTGTGTGGGACTGTTGCTGCTGCTGCTGCTGCGTCTGTTGCTGTTGCTGCTGCTGTTGTTGTTGCTTGAAGCCATTTTGCTGCTGCTGCTGTTGCTGTTGATACAGTTGCGTCTGCGTCAGCTGTTGCAATGGATGCTGCAGCTGCTTGTCGATCGACATCGACAACGATGATGCTACCGGTTGTTGTTGCTGCTGCTGTTGCTGTTGCTGCTGCTGGGCTCCCAAAAATGGAGCCACCGCACTGCGTCCAGGATGTGTGTCTGTCAATCCCGGCGTGGACTCGACACCATCGTCCAAATCCATCATATCCGATGAGGACTCGGACAACGATGATTTCTTCATGTGTTGACCTACTTGGTGGTTTGTATGCATTTGTTTAGTGTGTTTTGTTGCAGTGTATATCACGCGTTGGCAGACAGAGTGTAATTGTGTGTGTGTGTGTGTGTGTATATGTGTGTGTGTGTATATGACGTACGTGAGTTTGATTTTGAGGGGATTCACACAATGCCAGGGATGCAGGAACGGATTTTTGGATATTTGGATAGATGGGTACGAGTTCGAGATTTGATTTTGATTTTTTGATTTTTTGATTTTTTGGGATTATTATTTGTGTTTTTGGAGGTCACGTTTCGATATTTCGAATTTGCCATAAAATTGACGGAATAAAGAGAGAAACAAAAAGAAGAGAGAGAGAAGAGAGAAAGAGGAGATCACACATACAGTTGTAATGCATCGTTAACAGTAATGTTTTTTGCTGTAGTACTCGCTTACACACAAAACACACACAGTACGTGCACGTTGGTTGTGGCACCGCTGTCAATACCGCATACCGCTGCCCCACCGACAGGGTTGCCAAATGCCACCCACCGGCGCTGCAGCACATCACCCACCAGCCTTCTAGTAGTTCCAGATGGTGGTGGTGGGTGGGGTGTTCGGCAGTGCACAGAGAAAAAACATAACATCTGTTTCATATTGTCATCTCGACTTTTTCCATTAAACGTTAAAGTCCTTCGTGTTAATAATCCTTGGCATATCATTTTTAGATAAAGATAATAAGGTTCTAAGATTCTTTTTGAATTTTTAAGATATTTTGTGGAAAAGTAAACAATTTTTTATAACAGTGTAAGATTAAGTTAGAAGTCTTGGAAATAATGAGTGTTTCGGAATAGAAGATCTTGAGAGATAGCAACGAGAAAGGCTACGTCGTCATGATATGCCTCAGATCAGAGGTAGCTACTATGCCAGATCTTTATCTAGATTTCCCCTTTTTGATTTTTGCTTTGTGGTGATATTTTTTCTCTGTGTGACAACGTGTCTGTTTCGAAAGCAGTGCCGGTGTACCCATCCGCTTGGAAGCCAGTTGGTGGTGCTGCCAATCGTGAGAGGATGGATATGATGGGTTAGTTTCTTTAGTTGGTTGGTGGTTTCATTTTTCTTTCTTTCTTTTTCTTTTTTATTTTTCATTTAGAGGGGTGGTGGGCACACGGCACCGCCTTCGGCTTCAGCATCGGCATCCACAATTCGTTTCTTTCTTCGTAAATGTTTCTATTTTTATTCGACGGGGTTCTACTTTTTGTTGCTCTACTTGAATTTGTGGTTTGGGTTTTGGTTTTGGTTCTGTCGGTAGTAGGGTGGTTGGTATTCTTGGTTTTTGGGTTTGTTGCGGGTTTTTTTCTTTTTGCCTCTCTGCTGGGGGTTCTGGTCTAGGTAAATGCGAATCGAGTACAAGAAGGGCGGGGCGGGAAGGGGAGTGGGGGGGGGTTCGAGCCAAGGCCACAACAGATATGTAGTATAAATATCACAGGGGGAGGGGGGTTTCGGCTCGGAGTTTGGAGTACAGAGTGGGGGAGTGCACACACACAGTGTTGAACTTACCTAATGTACCTGGCAAATATGGACAACTAGTAACGTGATTAAAGTTCTGGCTCTGCATCTCCTCCTGATCCGTTTCGCGGTGATAGAAGTAGTTGAAATTGCTGACGATGACCGGCACCGGCAGTGCGATGGTCAGCACGCCAGCAATGGCACACAGTGATCCCACAATCTTGCCCCAAACGCCGACGGGTCTGTACCATTAATCAATCGTTCAGTCATTCAATAAATCATTAAATCAATCAATCAATCAGTTCAGTTTCACATAATCAATTTGTTTTTCGTTTTGTTTTTGTTTTCAATTCAATTTCGAATTTCGATATCAATCGATAATCGATATATATATGATATAGTCGTGATCGTGTGTCAAACGATAAACGATACAATGCAATTGTTTTTTTTTCGATTGGCAATCATTTGCACATAAAATTTATTTTCGTTTTCCGGGCGTTTTAGGGTTGCATTTTATTTTTATTTTGTTTTTTGATTTTTGTTATTTTTGTATTTTTTTTTTTTGTATTTTTGTTTGATATATATATAGATATAGGTGCAATTTTTTGATTTTGTTGTTGGGGATATTTGTTTTTTTTTGGTTTTGATTAACAATTGATATAGAGATATATATATATATATATAAATATATATTTTGATTTGAATTGAGAATTTTGGAGTTGGTTGGTTGGTTGGTTGTATTTTTTAAATTGATTTTTTGGTATTTGTTTGTTTGGATGGAAGCGAGCGATGTTAACGAACGAACGATATAAATAAAATGAAAATACAAATATATAAGAAATGTAAAGTAAAACTCTCGTTTTGTTCTTAGAATTTCATTTTGCGTTGGTATTTTTCATATATCATATATAAACTGGTATATGCATTGGCAAAATTATAGGGCATTACGCATTATATAGATACAGAGATACAGGTATAGATATCGATAGGTGTACGCTTATATAATATAAGTAAGTATATATATATATAGATATGTATATATTTATATAGAGAGGAGGGCTTGAGTAGGCATTAGTCTAGCAGAGAACGTTCAAATCAAATCAAAGTGGCGCAAAGAGTACGAAAGTCGAAAGAAGAAGGCACAACACTTAGAACAACGGGTGGCTGGGTTAAGCGTATTTGGTATATTTTTTAGTATTTTTTTGTATAGTTTATGTTTCTATTTTTTTGTTGTTTTTGTTGTTGTCTGTTTTGGCAGTTTGCTTTGTGTGTTTTTGTGTGCTTATATACAAACATAATTATTGCATAAGTGCGAGCGACTGGCTCAGGTATTTGTATTCGTGTGTGTGTGTGTGTGAGTGGGTGGGGGGGGGCTGGTGCATGTGGGTGTGAGTAGAGAAGATGGCGAAAACTTTTTCCTTCTCCACCGGTTAAAGTTGGATAATGGGGATAAAGGAGTGGTTCTGGTATCACATAGTATCATAGGCAATTGGATTTGGCAGGCGGCTGGGCTTTGTTGCTCATTAGGCGGCTGTAGCTAAACTTTAGTGTCTCAGTGTGTGTGTGAATGGGGGCGCCTAGGTGTGTGTGTGTGTCAGTTTGTTTGCTTGTTTGTTTGTGTGAGTGTCGTCGTGTAAGTGGGTAAGTGTCTTTATCGGGCACATGCAGCATGCTCGTCCTCGTCTCCTTCATCCTTTATGTTATTTTTTTTTTGTTCTTCTCCTTCAGCGTTTTTTTTTCTTCTGTTTGTGTTCTTTGTGTGGGTGTTAGGGGGTTAAACTCGATAAACTGTTTGGCCAGCAAATGAAGTTATCGTTATCGCTCAGTGGGCGTGGTTCCATCACCCAGTCTTGTGTGTGTGTGTTTGAGTGTTAGTGTTTGTGTGTTTGATGATGGCGATTATGGGCGGCACTGTACCATAAAGTTACAGCAACCGGGTATGAAGAGTATTAAGTCGAGTTGAACGGATGTTGATGATTTGTTTCGGTATTTTTTCGAGATTATTTCGGTATTCTTTCTTTTTTTTTTTCAGTATCTTTTGTGAACTAAACAACGACACAAACGTTACATAGGTAATTTGCGATAAGAAAATTATAAGCATAATACGTTAACTTGGCGCAAAGTAAAAACTAACAGCTAAAAGAGACTCAAGGTCGAAAACGCAATGAGATGTCAACGAAACGAAACATAATGAAACGAAACGAAAGATACGCGACAGAGCGAAATGAATGGAGACTGTTGGACTGCTAGTGCGAGCGAGAAAGTAAAAGTGATGCCAAATAATGCGAAACAACTGTTAAACGATACAAAAATCAAAACGAAATGGAAAACAAGACTTAAGACAAAGACCAAGATAAATTACAAATACAAAGACAAATAGAATTCGTTATAGACAAATACGTAGACAAACAAACAGCTCAGCGATTCAAAAGTAAGAGACAATAACGTTTAAGTTTGCTTTTCTGTTTTTGTTTTTCAGTTTTTGCATATTCTTATAATCGGGAAATACGAAACTCAAAGGGGTTAACAAGAAGTACAGTTAGTTTTGGATACATTTCGGTAGATAGCTTTTAGTTGGATTAGCTTGGGGGATTTTAGGTTTATTCTTTTTAATAATAATAATAATAATAGTAATTACACATAACGCAAAAGTAACGAAAATGTTTGGAAAATATAATTAGAACAGAAGACAGTGGTGGAACGGAGAAGGAATGGAACGCCCAGAAATTGAGGCGCTCCCAAGGCGGGAACGAAACGAAACGAAAAACTAAACGATAACGGTAACGGAAACGGTGGTAACAGAAACGTAAACGTAACGTAAAATCAAAACTGGAGTTGTTATCGTAAACGTAATCATAAAAGTTAGAATTGTATAGATTTGCATACGTCATGTCACCATATCCAACGGTGGTCATGGTAACGACCGCCCACCAAAATGCATCGGGTATGGACTTGAAGAAGGAATTTTCGCTTCCAGCTTCCGCAAAATAAACCGCCGATGAGAAGAGTACGACGCCTAAAAAAATTGATGGGAGAAACATTGCTTTGCATTGGTAATATATTCTTTTATGGTTTTTTTTTTTTTTTTTTTTTTTCAAAATTAACATTTAACCAAAGAGTGTTTTCTGTTGTTCTTGTTGTTGTTGTTGTTGAAAGTAAGTCTTTAAGGTCGGAATGCGTCGGAAGCTCGTCAAGGTGTGGTACGTATGTGATGGTGGGGGTTTACGTGTTCCAAAATTCATTTCATTTCGTAACCCTGGTACGGCTTCAGTTACTTTTTCTGTTTTAGTGTTTTTTTTTTTGGTTTTTTGGTTTTCGGTTCAACTTAAAAGAGTTTTCATACGTGTCATGTTTTTTTTTTCTGATTTTTTCATTGACTTTTCACCACAATCCGGCGGCATTCCCAAGCAGAAAATCAAGGCTTACCTAGACGGGGGTAGGATTCGCTTTTCTAAAATATTTTCGAATATATATATTTGGTTAGGTGGTGGTCGGTCAGGGGAGCAAGAAGAGAGGAAATCGGTTTCTGGTGAGCATCCCCGATGTTCGTACTACCAGAAATATGGTGATATTGATTGCAGTCTGAACGAACGGCGATAGTGGACCATAGAGCGAAATGTCTTGACAAACGAAATCAGACTCCATTCCTTACTTGGGGGAGGGGCAATAGTGGGATGCGGAGTGGGTGGATGTTTTAGGTTACATACTAAGGACGAACATAACGTTAAAGTAGATGAAAAACGCAAACGAAAATTGGGGGACGAGGAGATGGACAGCGACGCAAAACATAGAACTGATCATGCCACAGAAGAAAAAAATCAAAATAATAAACGGAAATGAAAATGAAAATCAGACAAAAAACACAGGGGTGGGGGGATGGAAAACAGAGGGGGTGTTGGTCCATAAAAGCGAGCGATCACCACAACATCACATCTATGGTATATTCACATTGTTCACTTTTCTTTTTGTACACTTTACGTTCTTATTTTCAAGGGACGAAACTGTACACCGGGCAGCGGCACAGCCTGGAAAGTTGGAATGTATGGGAATGGAACCATAAACTAACCAATTTATTTACATTAGCATTTTTTAGGAGTGACGAAAGCAAAACATCAATGATAACACATATAAAGCTTTAGAAAGACATATAGTTGAGATATGGGATAGACTGTACAACACTCAGTTACATAAACACTCAGACAAAGACAAAGACAAAGAGTTATAGAAAAAGAAAGAGAGAGAGACAGAGAGATTTAAGTGTAGATTATAGAAGGCGGGCTCGAGAGTAGCTCTAGTGCCGGGACCACACCAGTGTGGAGCTGAAACGTGGGCTGTACCTCATATCACCATATCCCACCGTCGTCATGGTCACCACAGCCCACCAGAAGCCGTCCGGTATCGACTTGAAAAAGGAACTGTCGCTGCCAGCCTCCGCGAAATAAACGGCCGATGAGAAAAGGACCACGCCTGAATCACGATCACGTAAGATCATTATCAAAATAGAGATCAAACCGTTATTAAAAGTGCAATTAATTGTTATTTTCTGCTTGGGAATCGGTTGGGGGTATTTGTCTGGGTGTTGGTTGGTTGGGTCACAGAGGCTATAGGCTATTTATATATATATATGTATATATCTGAATCCCGTCAGATTTTTCAAGGTGGATTATTGTTTGGTCCCCACGCTTAGTTAGTTTTTTCGTTAAAACAACTACAAGATATACATAAGACTATGATTATGTTAGGTTAGTAAATGGGTTGTTGGGTTTGTTTTTATCTTGGAATTCGGTGCAGGATAATAAAAACTATATAGAATATGTATTGGAAAAATGTTTTACGAATATTATTCGTTGGTTATGTATTTAGTAGTTAGTGTCTCTCTGTGTGTGTGTGTGTGTGTGTGTGTGTGTGTATGTATGAGTGTGTTCTGTTTGTGTGGGTGTCACACACAAAAGTTAGCAAAATATTACAAAAGGCGATTAACAAAAATGTTGAAAGTTCTTCCTCGGTGGGTGGAGCCGAAGTACAGAAAGGGCAGAGATCAAGAATCATTGCCTACTTATCTGCGCTTTCAACAGAGTTGGTGAGTTTGTTTGTGTAATAGAAAGAAAGAGATAGTTAGATTAGATAGATAGAGTGTGTGTGTATGTGTGTGTATTAGTAAGGTTAGTACGACTACTTGATCGGTGGAAACTAGCTATACAGAAGATTATTTATTTATAGAGAATATTATTGATTTTATTTATGTTGTTTGTTTTTGTTTTTTGTTTTTCGTTTTTTTGTTTTTAGATTAAACATGAAACTAGCTAAGTACTCTGTACAATACAATATACATACGTTATCGGTTCATAAGTAGTAGTAGTAGTAGTAGTAGTTAAGTAGTCATATCGATAGGTTTCCATACATATATATCAATATATCGATATGCGTACAGGTAAACATGATAGGGCTACGGCTACGGCAAGACAAATGATACGGTAACGGTAACGAAAACGGAAACGAATCAAAGGCAACCATCGAATTTCTATTAGTTATATCAATATACTATACATGTATATATCAGTTATAAATCGCAGTTATCATCGATCATCGTTAGCTGCTTTTGGGTGAAGTCTGGAATTTTGTAAGCCAAAGAAAGGATATCTAACATATCGTAACGTAACGTAACATAACGTAATGAAACACAACAGACACAGGAACTCAACGTAACTGATATATACAGAATATATATAATATATATATATATAGAAATATATTTAGATATGCAAATAGTTGTAGAGTAGTTTTGGTTAACGATATATTGATATAGATGTGTTCATGTTCATGTTCATGTTCATGTTCATGTTCATATGTCGGTTTAGATATGGTACACTATATAGATTATACATATGATATATACTTAGGTATGGTTAGTTAGTTAATACGTTAATCGGTCAACGGATACAACAACAAACTATAAGCTAGTAATTACCAACTAGAAATTAGAAACTAGAAGCTAAAAACTATAGAACTAAAAGCAAAATTCAAACCACGGCACAATCTGTGGACATGGACATCGAAACGACAACGTTGATGATGAGAGTACGGTATTACGGATTACTAAAAAAACGTTTTTTTACGGATTATTATTGAATACGGATACGTAGATTACGGTTACTGATTACTGATTACTGATTACTGATAACTGTTTACTGTTTACGGTTTACGAACAACTTGAATGTGGTAGAACATGAACAACAATACAAAATATATATAAATTTGATTTGATACAAAATGGTAACATTTCGCTTGATATTTCTTTTGATATTTTTCTGTATGTATATATATAAGGTTGTAACATATATCGATCACCATTTCTAGTTGCTATTTTGGTTGGACAATTTGTAATGCCAAGAAGTTTGCCAATTTTAAGGCATTTTCAATGCAGTTTGGGCACATCGGTAAAAGGTGGGAATAGGTTAGAGAAGAGACAAGGATTTAGGAAAGATAGATTTAGACTATAAAAGATAGATTAGTTTGAGAGACTTGAGAAAGTTAAGTAGATATGTTAGAAGATCTGCGCACAAAATGCTTGAGGTCCTTAAAATTGCCAACGACTTGAGCCCGGCATTCTGGAGAGTTTCCCGAAACGATTCGATGCTAGTAACACGCATACGAGATCATATTCGCTCCTCCTTCGCCTGCCGTTTGCACTTTGTCAGAGTATATCAGGAGTAATAGACTAAAATTCGAGTACATTGACGAGACTTCGACTTCTTTGCTGCTGTTTATCCAAAAAGCTAGCCAAAACCAAACTCAAATTCAAATTGCAAATTCGTAATTACAAAACGCAAATGAAGAGAGAGAGATTGAGAACTCAACGAACATATTCAAAGTGAACGATACTTATAGAGGAGAGCTTCTGTTTTGGTTTGCTTTTGCTGCTGGCGGGGAAAGTCAGGTTGATCGGGTAGATCGGGATAATATATAGTTAAGATCAAAGGGTTGCTAAACGTTTATCGCTGCTCCATAGTTCGGCGATAGTTCGTACCTACTTAGCGCTAGGATTAGACGACACTAAATAAGTTAGAGATACGTAATGGGTGAGTTATACGAGATTACACCTAGATAATACGGATACACGCTCTAAGGGCCTCCCTTCTATTTTTGTGTTTAGCTTGTGTGGTTGGTGTGTAGGTGGTGTAGATGTGTGTAAATGTAGTTGTAACTATATATAGTATGACTAGTTTACGTTACGTTTAGTTTACTTTAGTTTAGCTTCATGTTTTAGGTCTAATCTCTATATAGTTTTTTTTTTTTTTTTTTTTGGAGCGGGAAGTCGACGACGGGACGGAAAGGGTTGTCTGGCAGATACATTCTATATCTATATATAGTTATATATGGTTACTTGATCTAGGACAAGTACTGGGGTAGTAGCTCTCGTATTCGGTATAGCTTAGTCTTAAGTCTGGAACTGTTGGCTTGCGCCGAGTTTCGTGAGGCAAATCAAATCGAAAATGATAAGTTCTTAAAAAGCATAAGGACTTTTCTGTTTCTGTTTCTGTTTCTGTTTCTGTTGTTTGTTTGTTTGTTGTTGTTTATTTGTGGCTTGTTTGGCTGTTTGTTGTCTGTGACGCAATGAAATATATTTATAGACTTTTTGGCAGGTTCGGTTTTAAGGAGGTTCGTGATGAGCGGTAACATAAATGTGCTGGCTTGTAGGCAGACGTAAGCATAGAGATAGATATATATATGTATCTTTTGTGGTTGTTTTAATACGCGCGATTGGTAGTTATCGTAACGATATATAGTTATAGTTATAGTTCAAGTAAGTACGTGTATCTGATATCAGGGGGAGGGGGGTGGTGGGTTCAATTAAGACGACAGAGAGAAGTAAGTTAGAGAGAAAGAAGATCAACTTCTTCTTGGGGGGGCAGAGGGTGTAGTGATGGTGAGTCTGTCTGGATGGTCGCAGTCGTTTTGCAGTAGTATTTCTCTTTTGTTTCTTGTTGTTCTTGTTGTTGTTGTTGTTTGAATATAATAAATCGATAATAAATCGATAAGTAAATGTTTATTTTTATTTTTTTTTTTTTTTTGGTTGACTGTATGGAACTTACCTATAAATAAGAAAAATATAAGTAAACCTAATTCCCGCATTGAGGCTTTCAGAGTTCGTCCTAATATTTGTAAACCCTTCGAATGCCTAGATAACTTAAATATTCGAAATACTCGAACTAATCGTATCACTCGTAATATTGCCAAGGACATAGCCTGATTCGATGACTTGTCCTAAAAATTTTATCGAAATATATATATATTTATATATATATAATAGATGGTGTATAGGTATGCGTATATATATATATATATATATAAGTATGTTCTTGTTGGTATGCACTGGTGTGTGTGTGTGTGTGTGTGTGTGTGTCGTTTTATATATATATATATTCATATTCATGGATGGATGTTCATTTACATAGCTCGGACTTGATGTCTATATATATATAGAGTAGAGGTGGTGAGTAAGCGGATGTTGATGTTGTTTGGCTTTGGCCTGTGTTAGTATTGGTAAATATACAACAATGAACATAGCCTTGTTATCGATAAACTGGAGTTGGGAGTTGGGAGTTAGGGGGGATCGATCTGATAAGTTGATTATCGATTTCAAGTTGGAGTTATAACAAATGAAAAGTTTCAACTGTTTTTTCGGGGCAAGCAGGCAACCCCATTTCATGTCAGGCAACTCATAAATGATGATGGCAACACTTAATACTTTTATCGTTTCAACTGTATATGCATGTGAGTGTGTCTGTGTGTGTGTTTGTGTGTGTGAGTGATTAATATCGATAAATATATATATATAGTTTTTGGTTTTTTCTTGGTGTAAAGTTGACATTGGGCAAACAGAAATCTCATACCTGTGGACTGACTGGCGCTTTTGGAAGATTTAACGTATCCTCCTCTTCGGCAACGACAGTCGCTAGTGTTATAAAGTACGGAATGATGGCGATTATGTCGATAACATTCATGACATCCCTGCAGAAATTTAATTTGTTCGGACATGCGAGGAACCTGAACACACACAAAATCGATACAACGACCAGCGATTGGTTTGGTTTAAAGATTCACACAGACAGCGCGATAGAGAAACCGACAGCGATACAGCGAGACAGAGAAAGAGAGAGAGAGAGAGAGAAAGAAATATAGAGACGTAAGATAGAGAAAGATGTTCGTTTTCTTTTCAGATTTTCAGAAATTCACAAGTTCGTAGTTCGAATTCAAATCATGAGTGTCGAACATAAAAGCAAAGCAACAGACAGAGAAATATTATATATAATATTATATAATAAATATAAAATTTAAAAGAAATTCAAAACAAAAGAAAAGAGAAATCAAAGTTAATACTCAATTGGAAAAAGATAGAGTGAAGTTCAAAACTAATATTTCTCTTTCGTTCGCTTAGCTTATGACTAGGTCTACGCATAAATAGATTATTTTAGACTACATATATAAAGATATATATATAGTAGTATATAGAAGAGAGTGAGAGAGAGAGAGAGAGCGGCCTACCTGACAGTTAGTTCAAATGTAAACCAAATAATACATAACGTTTCTATAAGGAAGAAAGGATCTGTGATGTCAGGCACCTCGTCTTCCTCGATTTTTGTGCCATTTGTTGTTGTATTGAACACCTGCAAAGATATATCACAGAAAAAAGCAAAAAAAGATATCGATTTGTATGGCATTGAAGATTAGTTCTGGTTTCGACCTGCTGTGTGTACGCACCTTGTAATGCTTAAATTCGGGTAATGTTTCTAGACAAAATATAACAATTGATAGCAATATAACAAATACACTAATTATGGCTACAACTCTGGCGGCTTGCGAACTCTCTGGATACTCGAACAGCAGCCAGACTTTCCTCTGCTTCTCATTATCCGGTAATGGTCTTTCTTCCTCTTTAATAAAGCCTTCATCCTCTCTGCAAATAAAGAATGATTGATGATTCCGTGTTAGTATTTAATATGCATTATAATTTCCCATTCTATTTATGGTTTATATGAGTGTTGGTATTTTGTGAGTGTGAGTGTGTGTGTGTGTGTGGGTTTGGGTGTGTGGTTCTGTGAGTTTGGCATTCCTTAAGTGTTTGTTTGGTTTTTTTTTTTGGTATCTTTTAGGCACAAATTTGAAGTTTGATTGATTGGCAACTCTAATTCGGAAGCAGGCAAAAGGCGACTGGAATCGAAAGCTAAGCTTAACTCAAAAATTGTAATCAATCTAAAGCCATTAAAGAAGCATTGACTATCTCACAGCTAAGGAGTGTCTCGTTTTTTTTTGGCATTGGCAATTTAGCAAAGAGTTTGAAAATAAAGTTTAGGTAGGCTGCTTCCTGCTGGCTTCTCCGGGATAACGTCGTGGCCTCCGTTAGTTGTTCGATCTTCTGCATCTCCGCTCCACGGGTCCGGCCACACTGCCCCCCCGTGCCGTATCAACAAAATTTTAAGCTGGTGGTCAAGTGATTAACATTCACTCTTTGCATTCGACCTCGGTCCCTGGTCCATGGTCCAGTCTAGTCCTTGCTTTTCTTTTCTACTTTTTTTTTTATATAATTTGCTTCTACATGGCCATCATTGGAGGAGGTTAACACTTTAAGGGAAAGTTTTTAGCCACTTACAAGCTTAATTTAACTTAAATTTACTTTCAAATTTTATATGTTTTATCCTTAAAGTCAAATGTAGAAAACCTGATTAATCTTTCCCTTTGAAAGGCACTTCCAGCCAATGCAATTTGCTTGGCTTGTCTATATTTGTCTGTATTTAAGCCAAGTCTATAGCTATTCTATGTCTATGTGCGTGTTTATGTCGGGGTCTGTTTGCCGTGTTGCATGCCTCATTACACTGATTCGATATGAAAATTTGCCGTGCTACCAATATAGAACAAACCGAACCAATTTGTTGTCCTGTTTAATATTTGTTTTTGGTTTTAAGTTTTTGGTTTTTAAGTTGTTTTTTTTTTAGTTTTCTGTTTTCAGTTTTTAGCTTTCTGTTTTCTGTTTAATTTTTTGTTAGTTTTTTCTTTGTATTTTGTAGTGGAATTTTTGGTTTTATTTTAAGATTTTTTTTTTGGTTAGGGAATGGTGGAATTTCTAGTGGGCAACACGTGGGCTTACCTGAATTTATTAATTGCTTGATCACCTAATTCATAAAATTTTATTTCTTCACTAAATACGTCTAAAGGGACATTGACCGGTCTCCGTAGTCGGCCACCTGTGGATGAACGTGATGAGAGTGTTTTTTTTTTGGAAAGTGAGTTTTGGTTTTTTGTGTGTGAATAAAGTCAAGTTTTCATTGTTTGTTGTTCGGCGACGACGAGAATATATAGGAGAGAAATAGAGAAACATTAGACGGAGGATTGCATAGAGGGAGAGAGGGAAGTTGAGGATTTGATTATGCTAAATGCTTACCACTCTGATAATAGTATAAAATCGCATCGAAGCTCGGTCGACTACGGTCAAAAAAATATTCATTTCTAAGCGGGTCAAAGTACCGTAATCTCCGAGCTGGATCCCCAAGCAGCGTGTCCGGGAATTGATTTAACGTACGTAGTTGTGTCTCAAACCTTAATCCGCTTACCTGAAATCAGTTCAAGAATGATATATAGTATATCTATATATTATATCTATATCTATCAAGTTGATAACTCACATTTATAACGACTCTTTCGCAGAAATCATGATCGTGAGGAATGGGTTCAAAGTGTTGCGGTCCGCCACCAAAGCCATGACCAGCCCCCCCTTCTTCGTCTTGACTGCTCAATTTGGGCAAAGACCTGTCAAGTAGAAAGGATAAAGAGATATCAGATTGATTAACAGATTAAACAGATTTCTTTTGATAGCTTTATTTTAGTAATTAAATCTTACCATTTCCCTCTCAACTCATCTCTGAGATGAACTTTTTCAAACTAATCGAATATTTATAGGAGTTAGTCTCTCCGCCCGCCCGCCTAGACAGCAATTACTTAGCCATTACTTAGACCAACAGTCAGTCATTTAATTTATAATCGTAGAGAAAGCCCCTTTTTTGACTTTCTTTTTAACTGAAAGTCGCGTCGCGTCTCCCTCCATTATTCAATGCCTTCGATCTTTAAGCTCTCCAGTGGCCTGGCCTTTAATTACTTTTCGGCTCGAATCAATTTCCAGATGCTCTGCCATTGAATATTCAATGGCCATGCATATTGCATTGCCGGCGGCAGTCGGGGATTTTCAGCCTCACTTTCTCGATTTCAAATTGCAATTCGCAATTGCGATGCCAAAAAAGGAAAGCAAACCGAAAAGGTAAAGGTAAAGGGGATGGGTTTGGCTTTGGGTTTGGGTTTCCTACAACTCGTACTCGTCGTCGTCGTATACTTTCTCCTTTGGCTTAGGCCTCGTTCAAATTAAATTCATTGCTATCTGAAGAGATATATATAGTATATATAGTAGTATATATATATATCTATAGAGAGGGGGAAGATATATGCATTGTAGACACGCCCACGCCGGCAATATACTTATGTTTACACTTGTAATTGAAATTGTATTACAATCGCATATAAAAACGAGCCAACGAGCCAACGAGTCGGGCTCAACCACAGGCAGCAACACCACACACCACCCACCACCCACTGGGCCACCCTTTTTGGCTGGCAGTTTGCCCAACATTTTCCGCCCTTATCGCTGATGTTGCTGACAATGTGCAATTGTTGTTGCTGTTGTTGCAGCTGCAATTGTTGCTGCTGGCAACTTTTTGGCGTTGCATGGCAGGTTGCCGTTGCCTACTTTCTGGCGCCGTGCCGTGGCATTTAATTAAGCGTGTAAGTGCACTGGCCCACCACCCCCAAAAGAAATCCAAAGCTAAAAACCCCAAAAGCCTCGTTGTTGTTGTTGTTCTCGTCCTCGTCCTTGTCTTGGCCCTCATCCATATCCCCTCCCCCTTACTCGACTGACTGCAATAATGGCGAGTGCCTTGCCTGGCTGCTCGAACAAATTGTTTGTCGGCATAAATCTTTTCCGGCTGCAACTCCATCTTGCGCTTGCTGCCTCATATTTATGTTCACACACATGTGGTGCCGAGCATAATAATAATGGCATTGTAAACTCACGATTATCGCTTATGGCCACGATGAAATAAAGTTATTTATCGTCTCAAGAACCAGAGATTAACACATATTAGTAACTGAAGTAGCTACTCTACAGGGGGGATGATTTTACACCACTTAAGTGTGGTTATTGAGAAGCGCAGAGGAGGGCTTAAAATATGAAATTTAAAACATTTTAAAGCCCTTCTACCATATTTTCTGCTTACATTTCCCTTGAAATTATATTATTTGTGATGTGAAAGAACTTTTCCCGCAGAGTTGGCTTTCGTTGGCAGTGAAGTGCGGCGAGTGAGAAGCGCAGAGGAAGACTGCGGCCAGGGTTGTCATTTGCCAGTACAGAAAAATCAGCATAAGGCTAAGAATACCCAACTCTGGCCTATAATAGCTGGCTCATAATACCGTAGGCGTTGGTAGTACTCGATTAACGTGGCCTATAATTTCGTAATGATACCCAGCTTATGTCCACTTATTTTAACCGCTTATTGGCATATTGGCATCCGTGTGACGTCAGCAGCTGTTGCAAGCCGCAAAAAGAGTGCCAACAGTGTCAGAGTACAAAGGCCGGTTCAGGCTAAATGTCAACAAACAACAGTTTTGGAGGCCCAGTCCTAGTAGTAGGCCCATCTTTGCCGACTTTATACCTTCTCCTCATCTCTATATAAATATATATCTATATATACTCCGATATATAGTGATTTCGTACATGGAAACAAGTTTGTTGTTTATCTACTCTATGTAAATGTCAGTCAGAAATTTATGCATACGTTTTCGCTCTTCTCTCGTCTCGTCTCTCTCGCGTCTCTCGTCTCTGTTGCACTTGGATGCATGTATATAGGTCAGCGGCACGGCCTGATGCGGCTGTGACGTCATTGTCGCCTCCTTTCTAGATGCCGCCAATGTCGATGAGTCGGTCCTCTGCAGCAGCGACCTATTTACAAGATACATATGTATCCACAAGTCGCTACGTGAGTCGGATTCGATTCGATTCAAGTTGAGTTGAGTTGAGTAGGAGTCGTGTCGTGTCAAGTCGAGTTGAGTCTCACCCACTTCCGCATCGTTCTGCAGGTGGATTGCATAAGTCGAAAAGCTTCTACTGCTACTGCCATTGCTATTGCAACTGAAACTAAAACGGAAACGGAAACGGCAACGGCGTTGGGTGAAGTTCAATGCAAAGTCAAAAATCGAAGTGGAAATTCGTCGTCCTGGGGATCGTGGGGTGGCCCTCTACTTCTTCCTATATGCAAGTAGTAGTATCTTTCGGAATCTGACACGACTGTGTGTGTGTGAGTTGTATGCGTGTGTATTAGTGCCTGTGTTTCTCTTTGTCCGGTCAAGGCAACGTCAGCCTCAGTCCTTAGACCTCCCAAAGACCCGAGAACGTTGAAGCCAGCCCTCATTTTTTTTTTTCGTCGTCGACTATTTTTAGAAGCGTCAACAACGGCAAGCTGAAATTTATGAATTAATGTGATGGCAAAAAAGGAAATTTAAGGCATGCACACGCACACCAACACACACACACTCACACGCCGAAGTAAAAGCCTTGAACTGAGAGACTAGTACTGGTGCACTTGCCTCCAGCGACCCAGCGAGTCCTCATGGAGGACCCGCTTATGCATGCCGCACTTGCCAGCTGCGCATCTGCAAGTTAATCAACCATTGGGACCACAGCTGCGGATATTTTGCGCCATCGAAGTAAGCCCATTGAGGAGAGCCAGGAACTCTAATAAGGAAATCTAATAAAATGACTGGCACTGGCATTAAAAATAAAACAGAAAATAGTTTAGCACATATTTTCCGCTACTTAAGTCAAACCTTTGAGAATCGCCGAGAAGGGCGCTTCTTTTTCTGTTAAGAAAAACGAAAGAGAAGTTAAGCAAGTTAAGGGTATAAACCATAAGTTTAAGGAGCTTATTGATTAAGATGAATAAATGAATCATGTTTTTTAAGTTAAGAAGGAAGTAGAAGCTAAGCTCTTAAGAAGAATCATTCTTCTGCCTAGTCTAGTCTTCGCATTCAAATCATAGCGTGGCCTATTCCCTGTTCAGTTGAGACTTTGTGTGCGACCCATGGCCAAATCGATTCCCCTTTTGGGGAAACAGCAGCAGCAGCAGCAGCATTGATAAAGCTGATTTCCAAACCTTGCCTCCCTCATTGAGGGGGGCTTTGACGGGGAGCGTGTCAACATGATTCAATCAACGCCGTCAAACGAGAGGCGCCGCAGGCTGTGCAAGGTGAATGGGAAACTGGATTCAACGCTGACGTCACAAACGGCATTCGCCTGACAAAGTTTCTCGAACGTGAATATGAATGAATGAATTTGTGCACATGGAAGAAAATGTAAGCTTAAGGAAAAGCAAGAAGATTTTCTTAAATTGAACTTCCAATGGCAGCCCCTTAAAGTTAATCAAAGGAATTTGCAAATCAACTTCAATCTGTGTTTGCCTTTCAAATCATTTTTATTTATGATTTTTAGAGGGAAATGCTGATGTATTCATCAATTTCTGTGAGCAAACACCACTTCACTGTTCCTACAACTGCATTGCATTGGCAGCAATTTGCCTTGGAAATGCACCTGCCGCTGCCACCCGGACTTGTATTTGCAGCCGTATCCGGGGATCCGGATACGGGGCCATCAATCGCCAGACGGGGGATCGGGAATCATGGCCGCCGCAGCGTCGAATTATGCAAATCCCTGGCTGGAAAGATTCACGGACGGATAGGTGGATAGCTGGACGGACGACATGGGGAGGGGGGGTTGAGGAGACGGACGGACGAACGCGGACTAGCCAACTTACACCAAACTGGCCTGCCCTTTTGCGACCTTGGCCCGTTGCGTGCACAATTTGTGTGAGTTGCTGGTTGCTGCTTTTCGTGATTTACTTTTCATTCTATACCCTATATAGTAATAGGAAATTGGGAGATTTAGATAATGCATACGATGCGTTCTTGGAATCTTGAAAGATTATTTTTCTGGTTTTCTTTTAGGGAAGGTCTTTTCATGGTTTTCCTTCTTCGCTGGCAAGTTTCTAAACTTAAATTTGAATTTTTTACACCTCTAAACCCATTAGAAATCCCCTCTAACTTGCCAAGATCAAGGGTATTTAGAAGTTTTTAATATATCGTTGGACCTGCGCCTTCTCGTTTTTCATTTCCATTCTCATTTTCCGTTTTCCGTTTGGCTTTTTTATTTTTGGCAACCATTCTCAGGCTCTACTCGTGTGCACCGACATGCAAGCTGTTCCTTCAGCCAAGTAACAAAAACAACAACAACAACAACGGCGGTAATGGTGAGAAGTGTGGGCGGGGTCAGAGGTGAAAGTGGGCGATGGACTGGGAGTGGCGGCAGTGGCAGTGGGCGAAAGCTTGTTGCCTGTCGCTTTCTGTTTTCGGTGCTGTTTGCATTTGCCGATGCACGTGTGGCCAGAAAAGAATGAATGAAAGGCAAAAAAAGAAAGAAAGGTGGGAAGGGGGGCAGTGGAAAATGGAGAGGGGTAGAATGCGGGGTGGTGGTTAGCCTTAGTAAGGCGTAAAAAATGTGCACGTCAGGCATTTTAAACATGTTCCGCTATTTGAAACTTTTCCTCGTTTATTATTCGACAAACAAAAAAACTAAACGAAGGCTTTGGCTTAAAGAAAAGCAACAATGGAATAGAGGAAAGGAGTTTCAGGGGGTTAAACACCAAAAATACTAA